AAACTGTAGGTGGAATATTAGATGCTATGCTGCCGACAATATGCCTAGTTTTTGAGTATTCGTTTTTAGAATTTTATTATTCTATTACCTAGGATTTAATCTCAAATCATTGCAGCTGATTTTTCAATAATTTAACTCTGTATTAATAAAACAGGTCAAGTTTTATCACTCAGTTATGATTATAGGATTGATATGTTTAATTATCCTAACTATTTTTGCCGCAAACTGATTTTACATGAAAATAATTGCTTTCGTAGTAGCACTTTTAATAGATTTAACTTATATAATTTTTTTGAACTCTCCAATAACGCAGAAACATTCACAAAATATTAGGTTTAATTACCGCTTATATCGGGTTTTATAAACTGTTTTTTTTTTATTTTTATTTTTTGGTATTGATGGCTTTGGTTGGGACCAATTATCCAGGACTGTTGGATTTATAAAAAGAGTGTCATAACTCTATTACAACTATAATATAGTCTAATAAATTTTGAAGTGTACGTTTACAAGTTATTAGTGAGTTAATCTTACTTGTACCAGTCTCATTTGGTCAAAAAGTGTTTTATAAACAAGACAATGAGTTCCAGAGCAAACTTTTGCGCAGCTCTATATTTAATTCGATAGCTACTTTATTCCGGACTGTTTAAGTTCTTCACCATATTTGTAAATAATTAGCAGAAGAATCATACAGCAAAAATCTGCTTTACTTATTACACAGACTTTTTTGTTTCTATACAGTAATTTTACAACTTAAGTTTACAGTTTATAATGTGCGGTATAATGTTCCCATTATACCGCAATTGCAGTAAGGGGTTTTTTATCATTTTCATTTTGTACTTCTAGTATGCTGTTAGTTCATGTTTAGTACGTATTCAATCTCCTGTTTTCAAGCCATGATTTTACAATGCTTGTAAATTTTTTATGACCTGTTAATGCACTGACCTTTACCAGAAGTAGTCTATTGTTGCGGTGTCATACGCTGTGGTTAGCTTTACGAACTCTATTTAGTTTGTCTTGGTAGCCCTATTCTATGTGTTCAGTGAGATGTAGTCCATGGCTAGAACAGTTCTTTCCGGGTTTGAACCCGGCTCGGAATTATTTCTGAAGTATTGTGTTTTTGAGTAAATCCTTAGTTAACTTTTACTAGTAAAAGGAAAACTTGTTTTATTTTTGCCATTCTTCGATGTTATACTTTGCCGAAAGCTTTTTCGAAGTCGACTAGACATATGAATACGTCGCAATTGACATCTCGAAATCGTTCGATTAGTGTTTGTACAGTACATATTGCTTCTCTGATGCCAAAACCTTTTCTGAATCCCAATTGGTTTTCAGCTATTGTATCATCTAGCTTTTTATAGATACGTTCGTGTATCACTCGTAGGAACACTTTTAGAATATGGTTCATCAAGCTAATTTTCTTGTGCTCTTCACACTTCATTGCGTTTGATTTTTTGGGTATTGGAATCAATATTGATATTACCCATTCTTTCGAAATCTGTCCCGTATTAAGTAATTCCATTTAAGAGGAGAAAGGAGTATAAAAAGAAGGAGAGTGTCATGTCATTGAAGAATTTAAGGGACTGGTTTTAATGCAGTTCTATAGAACTCTTTAGAGCAGCAGTAGATAAAGGAATGATAGTGATGATGATATCCAACCTTTGATTGGGAGACGGCACTTAAAGAAGAAGAAGAAATAATTCCATTAGTGTGCCCATATGATTTTTTGTTAATATTCTTAAGATTTCTGTAGGCATTTCATGACATAAGTGACACATAATTTGGATTTAGAAATGCACTGGGAACGAGGAAAACCCTGTTCGCTGTAAATGTCCTTATGCAAAGGTGCATGGATGTTAATCAGCCAGTATATATGTGTTTCTTGGATTACAACAAAGCCTTTGATAAGATCAGACATAACCGTCTTATCGAATTACTTGAAAAGAAAAACTTAAATATGAGAGACATTAGGATCATTAGCGCTACCTGTTATAATCAGATCGCTGTGGTAAAAGAGAATAACGTCTTTTCAAATGAAATACAGATTGAGAGGGGTCTCAGGCAGGGCCGTGTTCTGTCTCCTACTTTGTTCAATTTGTATTCAGAGGAAATAATCCAGGAAGCACTAGAAGAACTAACTAAGGGAATAAAAATAAATGGCCGACCAATCAATAATATACGATCTGCTGACAACACTATTTTATTAGCGGAATGTCTTGAGGATTTACAACAAATGGTTGACAGAGTGATAGAAGTCAGTGAAGTAAACGGACTGTCCTTAAACACAAAAAAGACACAATTTATGGTAATTACAAAAGCCCAACAGCACCAAGAAACATAACAATACATGGAGAACAAATTAAAATAGTTGAAAAATATAAATATCTGGGTACAATAATTAACGAAAATATTGAGTACACAGAAGAGATTAAGGCAAGAATAGGACAGGCAAGAAATTTTTTCAATAAATTGAAAAAAGTACTCTGCAGTAGAGGCATTTCAATTTCTTTAAAGATAAGACTTCTGAGATGCTCCGTGTAATCTGTATTATTTTATGGATTGGAGGCTTGGACATTAAAGAAAGATGTTTCAGACAGAACAGCAGCCTTTGAGTTATGGGCCCACAGAAGTATATTAAGAATAAGTTGGGTGGATACAGATACGAAGGGAAGTCAAGAATGGGAAAAGATAAAGAGGTTTTAAATACAATTAAAGTCAGAAAACTGCAATATTTGGGACATGTCATGAGGGGTGAGCGTTATAACTTGTTGCAATTAATAATGCAAGGAAGAATACAGGGTAGAACGAGTCGCGGAAGAAGACGCATCTCCTGGTTAAGCAATTTCAGAGATTGGTTTAACTGTACTTCTGCTGACCTCTTTAGAGCAGCGGTATAGAAAGTGCGAATTGCCATGATGGTTGCCAACCTTCTTAGAGGAGCTGGAACATGAAAAGAAAAAGGTATTTCATCTGGTTCCATGGCCTTCTCATTTTTTATACGTTTTAGTGCTTTCTCAATTTCGTTTTTGGTGATTGGTGGCCCATCACCCATTACGATCTATTTTCTCTAAATTATTAAAAACGGGTTTAATAACTCAGTTTATCCTAAGGGCTAAGGGCACTGTATGAGATGTTATCCATATTATATTGTTTCTTAATTTAATGCATTGTTTAAGTTTCCATAAGTGACATATCGATGACAACAAGGAAGTATCGTTGTTAACTGTGGTTCTTTCACACTTTTTTAATTCTGATATTTTGATTTAGATTTTGACAGTAACTAACCCAGCTTTCTCTTTTGGTTTCTTTATATGTCTTCTTTGCCATTTCATCAAGTATTTTATATTCTGTCAGGTTATGGAGATTTCGAGACTGTGTGTAACATAAAAATTGTTGCTTTCAATTATTTTTGGAAGCTCTGGGAAAAAATAAATCTCGACAAGGGGTTTGTTTTTAACTTTGTGTAATCTAACTTAAATTTGCTATTACTTCCTGTATAAATTGGAAACACAAGCAGCTGTCTAGTATTCCTATTAACGTTTATTAGATTAGATATTGATAATACCTATATAAAATTATTATTATTATTATTAATTTTGTGTTTTTTATTATAGAGCCAAGCTCTAGCTTTAACCAGAAATTGCAAAACACCTCCACCAACGTCTGCTGCCAGTGTCAACGAAAGATCAAGTCGGGAGTCAGCTGAAAGGACCCTAACCCCCAACGCCGCCAGATCGGCCACTCCTTTGGAAAACACGGTATCTCCTCAGTCTATCAAGGACGATTTTGATCCAAACAAGACTTCTTCTGGTAAGTGTTTTTAACCTTTTAAATATAAAAATAAATTGTAATAGCTTTTGCCAAACGGTTTTTTCCCATTACTAAGTCAATAGTTAACTGAAAGTTATTTGATGTGTTGGAATACGAATCAATATAGGACATCTCGTTAAACTTTATTAAAGCTTATTAAAAATATTTGCTGCACATATACCAGGGATAATATAAAGAAATAACCAAAAAATAGTTTTATTTTATTTATTTATTAACAGATAAATCATTTTAAAAAATACACATTTTGTAATAATGTAATAAAGTTTAGGTGAGGATTAAGTTTTTAGTAAATACACAGAATAAATAAAACACAGTATACAACTTCTTCTTCTTTGCATTCAGAAATATATCATTAAGGAGACATTACATGGACACAGTTTGCTTAGAAAAGACTTCTAACGTGGTGTTTCATTAAGTATTTTAAAATGCTGAAGATATCTATTTATAATTGGAAATTGTTAGCTGAATTAAAAAGACAAGTTATTTGCTCCATATTTAACGACTTCCTATGACCAAATGCTCTTGAAAAGTGCGTTCACAACATTTGCTCAGTCTTCAGATTTGAAAATTATTTTGTTTTCAAAAATCTGGAACAAAACTTGAATCACAGGTCATTTAATCACTGAAACACAGATTAAATAACAAATGCATAGGACTTGGTAATACAAATTAATATACTTGCCAATTTAAATAAAGCGAAGGGGAATGCCTTTAGGTATCAGTGATAGTTTAGAGGATGTAATTTTGTTTATATGTGTAATCTTAAATATAAACTTTCTGATCTTTCTGACACATCATTTTTTTATTAATAGTTTTGCCAGCATAATATACTCAGTAATACAGAAATATTTACAACTATTCTCTATATTGTCTTCCATTAAACGAATATAATTCCTGTAGCAATTATTTCTTAATTATAAATTTTCTAGTCCTAATTACAAAATAATAATTATAATAAATTCCACAAAACTCGAAATATTTGAAGTATAAAATTTTACAAAAGAAGCTCCTCGACTATATGAGTTAGTCTACTGGCGGCATATGGGCAAATGTCTGCATACCTGATCCGATCAGCGTTTTTGGATCGAGCTGTACAGACTATCCAGTGCAGCCGTTTCATCAATCATGGGAAGATAATCTGCTTAACGCCACACTATCCTCTTCAATCCGAGCCGCCGAGGGTGAGAGGAGAGAGAGGAAACTATGCGTCGTTAGGATTAGCCTTCAGTTCATGAGTGGTCTCTCCTACTATTCACAATCACAAGAGTTTTAATAGTATGTGTCGTGGATAAAGCTGTTAGTCTTGGTAAATATGCGACAATGTTCCTAAAATTTTATTTAACCTTTATTTGGTAAGGTGAAAAAATATTATTGTATTTTTTATATATTATATACCAGATATTAACAGACATAGATATTAACTAACAATAATTCGTGCGTCTAGTTATAAAAACATAAGTTCAGAGGCAGTTACAGTTTATCACAATTAAAAAAATACTCTTAGCTTAAACATTAGAACAAAAAAACAATTTTTCAGTGCATTTTCATTTACCAGAAACGAAATGCCATTAAAAATAAACTGCAAAAGAAAAATATGTGGAGGGATTAAAGCAGCAACAATCATTAAGCATTTATTATTAATAAAAGTAGAGCACGTTGGTTTGGTGCATTGGTAAGTCAAACATTGCCACAGTATTTTTGGGAATTTAGCATGAACATTAACTGCTAAATACGGGGACAAAGAAGGAGTCTCCACGAGATCAATAGTGCCACATCAACTGCAAAGTAAACACTATTGACGGCGTCCCTTCGAAACGTCTACTAGTAGACGGCTAATCCTTCCGACACAGGACCAAACCAAATCAGATGGCAAACATCAAGTCACAACGGTTCTTCTTAGAGCCAACACTGACAGTAGCGAGCATAAATATCGAGGGTATCACTACAGCCAAACAAGACATCTTACCAGAATTCTGCAAAAACACTAAATGTGAGATATTGTGCATCCAGGAAACCCACGGAGACCTAACTGCAGCGAGACCGAAAGTCTTCGATATGAAACCGATTGCGGAGATACCACATAATAAGCATGGCAGCGTGGTATTTGTGGGAACTCAAACCATAGTCTCATCTGTGGGAACAACAAATATACACGGTATAGAGATAATCGGAACCACCAAGAGGCTGTGAACTGTGACTGTGGAGAAACACAGAATATGGAAAATACATCTTCTTACATGCTGAAACTGTCCTAATCGATGTACTCTTGAAGATTTTTGGCTCGTCAACAAAGATGGAACCGACGTAGCCCGATACTGGGCCGAAATTATATGAATGACATGTCCGTGCACGATAAACTAAAGTAAGTACTGCTAAATAGCCATTAGTTTGGCTAATTCACGAATGAAAATATGGTAACTTTACAGATTTTCTTCTTGTTTCAAAGTAGGATTTAAAATTGATTTTTGCTTTATAATTTTATGTGTCGTTGGACGCCTAGCAGTTTTACGAGTTCAGCTTGGACTCTGTTCGTCTTACCCAAAACTAAATGGCTTTTCTTAATATGTTTCGTGTTATTTACCAAGTATTTTTTTATTTTTAAAATGTATAAAAAGTTCAACCTGATTTTTCTTCCTTTTATTTTCGAATTAACTTATCCCTTTCTTCCTATTTATTGGTGTTTCGAATATTCTTTCATCACTACCTTTGGGGCAGATATCTGTGGTTATGAATTCGGACATCCTCCACAGTTACGTATTCAAGTTCAAGTGTCTTCATATCTACTGATTTGACCATAAGACAAATCTCACACCCTTCCTTTAGGGACTTCTAGGATATCAGTTAATGTAGCACTTCGCAACAAGCGACCGAGACAGGCAACAGATAACTATACTCAGACACCAAGTAAAACTGACACTTTGTAGATTTTAAAATAAAGAGGTAGAACAATGACGTATATAGGCTTCGAAACTATTCTTTAAAACAATTTCTCTATTTTTGTCTCTTGGCCCATTTTCACGATTTGGTGTGTATTTACTGATTGTCCTTTGGATTTAGCCGTTACCTTTAAAGATGAAAAATACGAAATTCTTGATACCTAAAACTAACTCTAGCAAACCAAACAATCAGCTTTATCTAATCCACAGTCCTTTATTAAATTACAAAACAGTAATAAATTAAGTTAAATAGATTTTCATAATAAAGAAGCAAAATAATATGCTTTTATATAACAGCATTATCTTTATCTTAGCATACATTATTATGTATGTCTTTACTTAACACAATGAGTTTATCTTATTTATTCAAATACATTACTTTTTCAGATTTATTTGTATTAGCCGTCAGCAAATAAATGTGGAATTATTGTTTGTCGTAAAATTGGAACAAAAAACCTAACCTCGTCTGTTAGTACACAGATCTAATCCTGGGGGATCAGCAGGTATCACTTACAGACAAAAATATCATTTTAAGACACACAACTATTTTATTCTATATAATTATCTCTTGGAAATAAATCACGAATTGTAAGATATTCTCTTTTCATATTGACGTTTTAGACAATAGCCGATTTATAACTTATTTGTACTTCAACTTTTCAAGTAGTTGTACACAGTATTTGCAAGCTATTTCGCAGAGCTTTTGACCATATATTATAAGAAATATTTTATTTTAATGTTTTTATATTATTTGCAGGTGTACAGGTGTACATTTTGTACAGCCTCTGTAAGAGGTGTTGTTTAAAGCCGCTAATGTTTTCGTCTATCTCTCTTGTGGTTTTGAGGCTTACTTGTAGACTAATATCTTCTAATTTGCTGCGATATTTTTCCCAGTTAGTTCTTTCAGTGTGTAGCCTTGGTGTGGCCGTTTTGTAGACTATAAAGCTACTGATGGTTGCTATAATTGGGAGGTGGTCAGATGAGAGATCATAGTTCGGCATGATCTCCATGTGATTAATAGATCTAGCAGATCAGGTGTTTTGTTTAGATCCATTGGCCAGTATGTAGGAGAGCCGGTAAAGAAAGAGTGGTAGTTGTTTTCATGTATTAGGCTTACTAGTTCTCTGCCTTTAATTCTTGTAAGACGAGATCAGTTAATAATATATGTTTGCTGTTGAAGTCTCCCCCAGCAATAAATTTTTGTCCTAGAGTTTCGAAGAAGTTTTTGAAGTCTTCTTTCTTTAATTTGTTTCAGTTGGACAGTAGACTGCTGCAACTGTTAGTTTGTAAGACCTCATACTGACTTTGATTGTAGCTTGCAAGCAATTTTCAGCATACTTTGGTAGTTCTGCATGTTTAATAGTATTTTTTATTAGAATAGCTGATCCAGCGTGGGCTGTCTTGTCTGGGTGGTTTGAAGAATAGGTTGTGTAGTGGGATATCTTGCAGTAAGTTTGACCTGTGAAATAGCTTTTAATTATTAATAGAATGTCAATTTCGTTGTATAGTAGAAATACCTCGACCTCATTTTTGACAAGGTGGTGAAAACACAATATTTGAAAAAAAGAACCTTCGATGACCAATATGAACCCAGATAGTTCGAATTTTTTCCTAAAAGCATATTTCTATTGTTCACTAGTGTAGAGGAGACATTTCCAAGCTTCGTTTTTTAGAATGGAACTTCAAATTGAAACGCACTAGAAACATTTGCAGTACTTTGCCTTTTATGGCACATAGAACATCCATTTTTTGTTTTAAACTTGGGTAGGAATTGGGCTACTTTCACTTCCCGAAAAAATAAATAAATATTTTTTTTTTCATAAAAAATTTTGTTATTATTTCTTAAGAAATATTTAAATTTCAATAGTTAACATATATTATTTATATAAATATAAAATATTAATTATAAATTAATACTCTAAATGTGTTTATTTAAATTAAAATATGAATTGACCTATTTTTTAAGAAATTTTATATATTTTATGTAATGTAACAATTTTTTTGTAAACTCACGACAAGTAGCTAATAACAAGCATCCATGCGACGCAACTAAACGCCGGTGGTAGGCCAGTTAAAGCTGGATTAAGCTGAAGGTACGGAATTAAAGGAAGCCAGGATTAGAGCGACCCTGGCCTTTCCTCCCGCTTTTGAGACGGGAAGCTGGAGATTAAATCTCGCGAGAGATTAGCATTATCAAGTAAAAAAATTGAAAACAGACTCGCGATGACGTTTATGATTATTGTTGACTGAGAAAAAGTTAGCCCTCGGAGCATGTCTTTATCTTAGTTTATTTTATTCATTCTAATCGTCTCGTCTTGTCTGGAAAATTGAAAGTACACAATATTATGTGTACGAAAGATTTACCGAAAGATTATTTTTTTAAGATTTACACACTAAATATTATTTTATGACCATTAATGAATGAAACAGTTCCAGAAATATTTTTAATAATAAAAAGTAAATTTTTATTCCATTTGCTTTTCACGCTCGATGAATACGTCATTCAATCTCCATTTTTTCTAGATTGTTTTCAGCTCTTGTATCTACTGTCCTTTTGTTAACAATGTTTGAGATGGTCCTGATATTTATCCTGGCGCCATTCATATCTATTAATAATTCTAAAATATTTTGATGTCGAATATTGCCAAATGTTTTTCCAAAGACTACTCGTATATAGCATACAAGTGTACTTGGGCTTGCCGATCTGTGCTACTACTGTATACACAAAGACCCTCTACTAATGTAACATAAGATTTCAGAATTAAATCAAATTCCAACAGAACTTCCTGTACAATATTAAAACCATACACGTATATCGTGGCGTCTTGTAACTGTTTTTTAATGTATTAATAATAAATCAAAACTTATAAATAGATAATTCAAAATAGATAAAGGAGACGGTGTATGACAGAGATTAGTAAAGATTAAAATACACTGAGAACAATGAGTATTTATTAAGAGTTTTGACTATTTTAAAATTATTTAGATAATACACTACGAAAAAAGTAATCTTGAAAGTTAGACATTTATCCACACATATTAGCAAACAACAAAATCACGAATAATACCTGGAGAAAAAAGACTTTTGGATATTATATCATTACATGTACTTGTTAAAAATGTAACGTATAAACTTCTTTTCTTACGTGAAAATACCAGAAATGATGCCCAAAGATTTCCAGCTGAAAAAAAACCAACTCTACAAAGAAAAATGTAAACGCGCGAATAAGACCCCGCACACTTGCATAGGCACAGGATCAATCTCCAGAAGAAGAGCATAGTATTTAAGCGAACCACACGGCAGCCTAGATTCTTCTTTAAATGTCATCTCCGCGACGAAGGTTGGCAATCATCATGGCTATTCTGACCTTCGAGGCAACTGCTCTGAACAATTCCCTTGAGCTGCAATCAAACCACTCTCTCAGGTTCTTCAACCAGGAAACGCGTCTTTTTCCTACCCTATGCTTCTCCTACCCTCTATTTTTCCTTGAATTATGAGTCTCAAGATGCTGTATCTTTCGCCTCTCATCACTTGCCCGAGATATTGCAATTTCCTTTTTTTATTGTATTTTAATTTCCCTCTCTCTGCCTATTCTCCTTAACACTTCCGTATTCGTGACTCTATCTACCCATGGAATCTTTAACAATCATCTAAATCTCCGCATTTCAAACGCGGTAAGTCGATTTATTGTAGAATATTGATATCTTCAGAAGACATATTTTCCTGTCTCTGGTCATGAAATAATTCCTCTATCTATTTTTTTCCATCTTACTAATGTTTATTTTGTCTCCACTAAAATATTTCCTTGTTTGTCCAATAACATGCTTGAAGTTTTTTGTTTTGCTACCCCAGCTAATTCTTTTACTTTCTTATGAAGATTGAAGTTATCATATTTGTTTTGCAAGTCTTCTATTTCTTGGCATTTTCCAGCGATATAAGTCTCTTTATCTTCTTTTATTTTCATTCTTATTTGATTATGCAGCTATTGATACTGAGTTATGTTGATACTCTTTTGCCTGCCTTCTTCTGTCCTCCATCATTTCCAAGATTTTTTCTGCCATCCAATCTCTCCTTTCTTGCATCTGGTGGTTTTGAGTTCTCTGCGGCTTGGTTCGATAATTGCATTTTTAAATAATGGTCACTGTTGTTCTACATCACCATCAATTGATTCAGGTGTGGATTCTAGGTTTGCATTAATTTCTTGTTTCAGTTTTTCTTTGACGTCTTCTGATTTTAGTTTTTTTATGTTTAGTTTATCACTTTTGTAGCTTTTTTGTATCTTTTTTAAGTCAAGTTGGAATTTTGCTACAAGAGGATTGTAATCCGATGCCACGTCTTCACCAGGGTGTTGCGTTTGTATTTTATTAGAATATAGTCAATTTGGTTTCTAAAGATTTTATTAACTTTATCAGCTGGCGACTTCCAAGTGTAAAGGAGTCGTTTAGACAGTTTGAAGAAAGTATTCATTACCGCAATAGTATGTTCTAGGCAGAATTATATAAGGCGTTCTCTCTCTCATTTCGAACACCGAGTCCATATGGTCCTACAGTAGACTCACATCTTCCTTCTCCAACTTTGGTGTTAAAATCAGCCATGACTAGCCAGCCTAGATATCAGCACTAAATACATCATTTAAGATCATTCGGGATTATAGCACCTCACGCTGTCCGGAATTATTCGGATATGATTTTATTTGAGGATTCTTGTATTTCATATTGCATGACAATCATATTGCAATCATTTTATGAAAGTAAGGTTCCATATTGTATCAGCGTGGTATGGAGGAGGTAAAGTGGAGAAAAACCGGGAGAGCATTGGTACTCGGAGAAGTGGATCCTTATTTACGCGGACCAATCCTCCTCTCTCAAATGAATTGCGTGCCCGAATGTCCATATGGGTGTGCAAGTCTCTGCAAGGAGTGTTTACGTGTTTTGCTTGCCTAGATATTAGTTCTCGTGAATCAAGTGGAAGAAGCCAAACTCATGTGATTAAACAATGGTAACCGTGACCTTGCCGAGACGTCGGCAAAACAATGGTTTTTGTTTATATGGTAGCCGTACGAGTACCGTATTTTCATTAGTTTCTGATTATTGTTATTGCAAACAAAATCTTTGGGATAAACAAATTATTAGTTTTTAAACTAATTGATCGGTCTATTTACATTTGAGGACTTGTAAATCACCACAGTAATAAACTTTGGAAGCAATGTCAAAGGTGTAGATTGATTTATTTTGTATTTTACAGTTTCGGAGGAACAAATTATTTTACAACCTCTGGAATTCAGTTTTCTCTATACTTTAAATGACAAAATTTTGAAATTTTCTGTTAATTACTTTCAAATAATATTTTTAACGGTCTACAAAATTCGAAAAACTTGCAGTTACAACTAAAGAAACAACACCGAATTATTTCCAG